ACTCTGTTGTTTGAACTCTGAACTCCCTCTGTGATTGGCTGCAGCAGGCAACCACCCACAAAGGGAAGGACCTGGCACTGGAGCATCGGCCAGGTGAGTGTTACAGCAAACTTTAAAGCTTCAGTTACAAGCTTTGAGGATGATTTACTTTACAGTGGCTGCAGCTACAGAGGTGGCATGTTTTTAAGTTTCTACACTGATGATTAAAAATATTTAAACATTTATTTGTTAAGAGCCTAGCCACAATTCTACTTCAAGGGGTCATTCACATTTCTCCAATGGGCTGCCAAAGCACGGCAAGGCTCTTTTTTTAATGTAGTGCACCACAACATATGGCATCTGCAATGTGGTGTGCTGCAGCCTATTGTAGCAGTGCAATGGGTGGCCAATTTAAAATGTGTGGAACTGCAATACATCATAGATTGCACATAATAGAGGTTTCCGGGGACTGCCTTTTTTTCTGTACCACAAGGTATCCTTATGAACTTTTAAAGAAATTTGGCAAATGTGTCATATAGTGGCGATTTTAGGGGGTGGTCTACTGCTGATCTGGGGGCTTTTTAGGCTTCTGATTAGCTTGTAGAGGCCCACAAAGGTCTAACAAGGGTTGTATATGTAGTGCTAACCCCCAAAGGGACTGCTAAATTGTACTGGGTCCCTACTGCCCTGAATCTATGAGGACCCGCCAACACGACACACCTTGAAGGTTTAACCACTTGCCTACTGGGCACTTATACCCCTTTCCTGCCCAGGCCAATTTTCAGCTTTCAGTGCTGTCGCATTTTCAATGACAATTGCACGGTCATGCAACTCTGTACCCATATGAATTTGTATAATTTTTCTCATGCAAATATAGCTTTCTTTTGGTGGTAATTACTCACCGCTGGGTGTTTTTTTTTTTTGCTCTATAAAAACAAAAAAGAGCAAAAAAAATTTTTTTTTAAAGTTTTTCTTTGTTTCTATTATAAAATTTTGCAAACAGGTAATTTTTCTCCTTCACTGATGTGCGTTGATGAGGCTACACTGATAGGCAGCACTGATAGGCGGCACTGATGAGGTGGCACGGATAGGAAGCACTGATGGGCACTGATAGGCAGCACTGATAGGCGGCACTGATAGGCAACACTGATAGGCAACACTGATGAGCTGGCACTGATGAGGTGGCACTGATGATGCTGCACTGATATGCAGCAATGATGGGCACTGACTGGCGGCACTGCTGGGCACTGACTGGCAGCACTGCTGGGCACTGATGGGTGGCACTGATGGGTGGCACTGCTGGGGGCACTGCTGGCACAGGTGGGTGGCATTGGTGGGTGGCACTGCTGGGCACTGATCATCAGTGCCCTGATCATCAGTGCTGATCTGTCCTCTGACAATTGCCGGTTATCGGCAGTACTTTCCTCACGCTGTGACAGCGTGAGGAAAGTGCAGCCGATAATTGGCAACTGCATTATCTGGTGATCTGCTGTGTCATTGGACACAGCTGATCATGTGGTAAAAGGCCGCTGTGGTTGGCCTTTTATCACATCAAGTGATCAGCTGTGTCCTGAGATCGCTGGGTGCACGCCCCCGGGGACACGCAGGAGGGCGCGTTTTGGTAGGACATCATATGACGCCCTCCCAGAACTGGACAACAGCGCTGTAGCCGTCATTCGGCTATATAACACAGTTGGCAAGAGGCTAAATGGGCTTTATTTAATGGCAAAGCCCTAGAAAGAGAGGAATGGGTTAATTAACAGTTTACGATATAGCAATGTAGGCACCTTGTTAAATGACACAATTCCTAGGGTGTCACTGTTTATTCACCACATCCGCCCGGGAAGCAATGGGGGTTCCCCTCAAAATCCATACTAGACCCGAAGGGCTTGGTATGGCTGGGAAGGGGGTCCCCACGCCATTTTTTAAAAAGCTTTTTATTTGTTGGGCAATGCCAGCAATTCTTTTGACATTCAGCTGTCAGCGGGGAATCCCGCTGACAGCTGAAACATTATCCGATGCGATAAGATACCACTCAGTAAATTGTCCCTGTTCAGTAGGTTCAAATGTTTGACTGCGAACCGAACAGGGGGGTGTCCGGACCATCACTATTCAGCTGTAGCAACAGCCGGTCAGGGCACAGTCCAGTCTCCTCTCAACCTGCAGCTAACCGTCATAGGAGAAAAGTGAAAAAAAAGTCCTTTCCGTGTTTCTTTGTCAGTACTGCTGGGAAAAAAATGAAAGAGCCCAGCCCAATGCTACTTAAATATTTACCTACACCTCTTAGAACACACACACATCTGGCATTCCTACAGATCTGTTAACAGCTATGTATTGCAAAGACCTGCCTGATTGGATACAAATTTAATGGACTGCTAGGTAGACCCTCACATTACATACTTTTCAAACATTTAAAGTAGATTGAATAGAGAATGTCCAATCAGATTGGATTGTATATGACCAGGGTTATGCAAGGTAACACATGTACACAGGTTTGCCATTGTTTTCAGTGGTTTACATCAGTACTTGATGTGTGGTGCCAAAAAGTTCATGCCTGTTGTGGCGGTCCATCTGGCACTCCACTTGAGTGCTTCAGTAAGAGAACTGCTTTCTTGCTGCTGGGTATAAGGGCTGCCCCCCCCTTGCTCTCTGGAGCTCCGTAAGTGCTGTTGGTGCTGAGCGGAGGTCTGTTTTGCTCTGCCCTGATGCCAGTTCAGTGGCCTTGCACAAATCTCCAGGGCCATTGATTCTTATAGGCAGACATCAGCAGCACTCTGCCTCAATGCCAGCTCTTCCACTGGAGGCTCACTGGGTTGTTCCTCCTTAGCAGAAAAGTTTATTAAATTCCTAGTCTCTGGAATTGCTGAAAATCCAGGGCACAGGCTGGTGGCATTTGGTCCCAGCACTGGTGTTTTGGCACGTGGCTCGTAATCCATAACATCCATGGGTGCTGGGGCATTGTCAGGGTCCTGTCCACAGCAGAAGTTCTGCCAATATTCTATATGGCCGCAGTCTGGTGCCAGACGGCCTTTATAAGGAGGCTCATCACTTCCTCTGGTTGCTGGATGATCTCTAGCTCCCCGTGGTTTGTTCCTGTTTTCTGTGGCTTGTGACTTCCTGATTCTGACCCGGCTTGTACTTGGACCTTTCTGCTCTACTGACCCCCTGATCTGACCTCGGCTTGGCTAAAGGATACGCTCTCTCTCGCCCCTCCGTGTATGACCTCGGCTATCCCACCTGACCACATCTTTTCTGTTTTCCCACCCGGTACCTGACCTTGGCTCGAGCTGATTAACCCGCAAACATCCAAATCCCGGAAGGCTTGCATACTACGCACAGGCGCCTCCAGTCTGCAGACCTATCCCCGTGCAACAGCTGTGCTTCCGAGTGGACCATCAACCAGCACTCCTACAGGCGACCTGTGCAACTTTGGGCCTGACTCCCGCTGTCCCACTCTCAGGGGAGTCCGGAACTTAGCTGCAAGGGAAGCCCTCTCTCCATTGGCCTCCATTACCAGGTACGTGATAGTATCATCCAGCCAGTATGTCCGAGGCCCGAGAGAGGCGCTTCCGCACAAGAGGCCCTGTGCCAACAATGATTGCACTTACCCAAGCAGTGAAGGATTTACAGCAGGGATACTTCCAGCTGGAAGGACGTTCTTCACTCCCTCTCCCACTTCCGCGGACCAGGTGCCCTCCGCCAGTTCCAACCCAGTTGCTGCACCTGCCAATCCAGTCTCCTGCCACCACACTCCTGCTATTGTGTTACCACCTCCGGAACCCAGAGTTCCTACTCCGGAACGTTTTTCTCGGGGATCAACGTAAGTTCAGAGCTTTCAAGAATGCTTGTGAATTATATTTTGCTCTGCAACCTAGGACCTTCTCTCTGGAAGCGGTCAAGGTCGGGTTCATTATTTTCTCTTGTCTGAAGAACCTCAGTCTTGGGCACATAGTCTTCTGGAACAAAAAAGCCCAGCACTCAAATCAGTGAGTGAATTTTTTTGAAGCCATGGCTGCCCTCTACGACGATCCCCAGAAGACCTCAACTGCTGAGTCCGCCCTCCATGCTCTACCACAAGGTCGGCGGCCTGTGGAGGACTACATAGTGGAGTTCCTTAAATGGTCTGCAGACACCGGTTAGAACGATGCAGCATTGAAGTACCAGTTCCGCCTAGGCCTGTCCAAGTCCCTCAAGGACACGAGTTAGCTAGGGTGGAAGCTCCCTCCTCCTCCTTGGAGAACCTTATCCTGCTCGCTACTCGGTTGGATCGGCGTCTACGGGAAAGACGAGCTGAGCGTACTCAGACATTTCGGCCCACGTGGATTCTGCCAAAAGTTCCAGGGCCAACGGCTCCAGCCCTTGCTCCGCAATCCATCAACAATTCGGAGGGCGAACCTATGCAAATCGTCCTTCTCCTGTCCTAACTCCAGAAGAAAGGCTACGCAGACAGCAAGGCAACCTCTGTCTCTACTGTGGGGCCTCAGGCCACTTCCTGCGTAACTGCGCAGTGCACCCAAGTAAGTCCAGCCAGCCGCATCCTTCGTACCTTCAGCTATCTGGGACTTTAACTACGCATGTCATTCTCCCATGTCTTTACAGGTGGTTGGAAGGGACGTCAAGTTGCGGGCAGTCGTTGACTCGGGAGCCTGTAGCTGTTTTTTAGACATCCAATTGGCGAAGGACTTACACATCCCTCTTCTGCCTAAGAAACAGAGACTTGATGTCCTACTTGCGGATGGCACTACTCCGAGTTCCGGACCTGTTACCCTGGAAACCACTCCTATTCTTGCTACCACTGACTCTGGCCATCAGGAGTTTATTCGCTTTGACATAATCAGATCCCCATGTTTCCAGTCATCCTAGGAATACCTGGTTGCAAGCCCACAACTAGAGATGAGCTGAAGTATTCAAAAATTCGATTCGACTGATTCGGCGAATTCGTGGACAATTTTCGATTCGAGTCGAATATATTCGCTGTGAATTTAACTTAAAAAAGGGTGTTTCTAGGCTTCAGAGAGACTTAATATTAGTGCAGAACACTGTACCTTTAATTTAAATGCCCTTGGAGTCTGCTGGGAAGAGAAATAATACTGTCAGTCAGTATGACATGCAGATGAGTGCCGTCGATCCTAGAATCACCGCACACATTCACTCATTTGGCCAGTCACGGGGCCAAAACCAGTGTTTGGAGCCACAGTGTGGCGGTGTGAGGCCAGCAGCAATGGGGGGCCATACAGCAACCTATGACAAAATGGAAACCAGCAGGAGTGTGAGGAGACCTCAAAGTGGCACATGGCAGAGTGGGAGCAATGGGAGGCGGTACAGGGACCCATGTCACATTGTGGACCCAGCAGCAGCGTGACGAGGGCGGTACGGGGGCCCATGGCAGATTTGGGGCCTGGCAGCACCTATGGGAGGCCTGTAATCTGCCAGACAACCTATGACAAAATGGAAACCAGCAGAGTGTGAGGAGACCTGAAAGTGGCACATGGCAGAGTGGGAGCAATGGGAGGCGGTACAGGGGACCCATGTCACACTGTGGACCCAGCAGCAGCGTGACCAGGCGGGTACGGGGGCCCATGGCAGATTACAGGGCCTGGCAGCAGCAATGGGAGGCCCGTAATCTGCCAGCACCCTATGACAAAAAAAGGAACACACCAGCAGGAGTGTGTGAGGAGACCTGAAAGTGGCACATGAGGCAGAGGTCTGTGGCGATGGAGACAGCCAGCACAATGGCGGAGGCGGTACAGGGACCCATGAGAGACTCTGGAGCCTGCAGCAGCAGTCATGAGAACCAGGCGGTATAGGGGGCCCATGGCAGATTAGGGCCTGGGCAGCAGCTATAGGAGGCCCGTAATCTGCCAGCACCCTATGTCAAAAAAATTCAACACACCAGCAGTGTGTGAGGAGACCTGAAAGTGGCACATGGCAGAGTGTGGCGATGGAGACAGCAGCAATGGGAGCCCGTACAGGGATCCCCATGACAGACTCTGGACCTGGCAGCAGCATGAGGAGGCGGTATAAGGGGCCCATGGCAGATTAGGGGCCTGGCAGCAGCTATAGGGAGGCCCGTAATCTGCCAGCACCCTATGTCAAAAAAATTCAACACACCAGCAGTGTGAGGAGACCTGAAAGTGGCACATGGCAGAGTGTGGCGATGGAGACAGCAGCAATGGGGAGGCCGTACAGGGACCCACATGACAGACTCTGGACTTGGCAGCAGCATGAGGAGGCGGGTATAGGGGCCCATGGCAGATTAGGGGCCTGGCAGCAGCTATGGAGGCCCGTAATCTGCCAGCACCCTATGTCAAAAAATTCAACACACCAGCAGTTGTGAGGAGACCTGAAAGTGGCACATGGCAGAGTGTGGCGATGGAGACAGCAGCAAGGGGAGGCCGTACAGGGACCCATGAAAGACTCTGGACTTGGCAGCAGCATGAGGAGGCGGTATAGGGGCCCATGGCAGATTAGGGGCCTGGCAGCAGCTATGGGAGGCCCGTAATCTGCCAGCACCCTATGTCAAAAAATTCAACACACCAGCAGTGTGTGAGGAGACCTGAAAGTGGCACATGGCAGAGTGTGGGCGATGGAGACAGCAGCAGCAATGGGAGGCCGTACAGGGACCCATGAGAGACTCTGGACCTGGCAGCAGCATGAGGAGGCGGTATATAGGGGCCCATGGCAGATTAGGGGCCTGGCAGCAGCTATGGGAGGCCCGTAATCTGCCAGCACCCTATGTCAAAAAATTGAACACACCAGCAGTGTGAGGAGACCTGAAAGTGGCACATGGCATGAGAGACTGTGGACCTGGCAGCAGCATGAGGAGGCGGTATAGGGGGCCCATGGCAGATTAGGGGCCTGGCAGCAGCTATGGGAGGCCCGTAATCTGCCAGCACCCTATGTCAAAAAAAAAAATTCAACACACCCAGCAGTGTGTGAGGAGACCTGAAAGTGGCACATGGCAGAGTGTGGCGATGGAGACAGCAGCAATGGGAGGCCGTACAGGGACCCATGACAGACTCTGGACCTGGCAGCAGCATGAGGAGGCGGTACAGGGGCCCATGGCAGATTAAGGCCTGGCAGCAGCAATGGGATGCCCGTAATCTGCCAGCACCCTATGACAAAATGGAACCCTGGGCTGGGGCAGGCAGAACCGCCGTATCTTTATCACGGTTTTCCCAGGCCACCGAATGGCGACGCTGCATATGCTGACGCAACGCTGTAGTCCCAACATGGGCCCCCTGGCCACGCTTGACTTTCTGGCCACATAGTCGACATACGGCTACGTTTACTTCCTCGGGCGGCTTGACGAAAAATTGCCCACACCCCCGAGTAGGAAACTTTGCCCCCCCCGCTACTCCTCACTGGCTGACTCTGCTACTTCCTCCGTGCACACCGGCATCACTACTGGCGTGGTGGTAGGCTGCAGTGGAGCTGGTGCTCTACACCGTGGCCTGTTGCCTCCACTGACACTGCAAGCGACCCTGCTGCCTCCTGGCAGCGGCCAGATAATCCGGGCCTGGCTTAGCAGCAATGGGATGCCCGAGAATCTGCCAGCACCCTATGACAGAAAAAAAATGGAAACACACCAGCAGTGTTGGTGAGTGAGACCTGAGCAAATTGGCACCTGTATGGGGCTTTGATTCAAGAGCGAGTTAGTCATTTGTGTCCAAGGAAACAGGTGGAATGAAATCCAGACTAGAATCTCACGTCTGATTCATTTTCAACAAACGTGAGTCTCTCCACACTTTGGGTGGACAGTCGTGTCCTCCGCGGAGTTACAATACCTCCTGCCGCAACTAAACACGCGCTCCGATGCCACCACGCTACTGGCCGGGATGACAGCCTTTCAAGGGCAAATTCAGCTAGTTGGGCCAAAGGTCAAGTTTCGTTGCCCAGTAGTCAAGGGGATTGTCTACTCGGTGGCAGGGTGCTGTCCAAGTAGGCCCAAGCCTGTGTTGGTTT